CTCAGCAGACCATTGCTGTTCAAGGACCAAGAACGCCCCAAGAAGCAACAGCGAGTTGGAAACCTCGGCAGAAGCATCTCAACAAAACAGCGGAGCATTGGCGGCAAAATCGATGTTAAGACACTGCTCCAGGTCTCCGAGAACACGTCAGGCATACGCAGTCTTTAGGATCGACCTGTACAGGGCTCTGCGCCACCCACGAAGCCAGACAGGAGGTGCAGCAGGGACGTGCGAGAAGCGAAACGGGAAACAGAAACCACCATTGGATGCTATGACGACTCTGACCAGCCTCTTGCAAGCTGGTCTGCAGAAACGTGCAAAAGTCCAAAATCGTATCCTTAGCCAAAGATGCAGCCCTTCTGCATCGCAGCTCTAATCTTCGAAATGTCTGCCGCGTTTTCTCTCTTCACCGAGCTTCGAGGCCCAGCGGACCATACAAATGCACAGCTCCGAGCAGTGAGTCGGAGAAGAATGGCAGCTTGAGTCTCAGGTGAGCCTCAAAGGAAGAAACGGCAGCATTAGCGGCTTGCGATCTGGGTGGTTGTCAAGATTAGGGTCCCTTTTCTGGTCCTTATTACAATACGGCACCTAATATTTAGGGTACACAAAAAGGGACCACATGGGACCATAAATGTGTAAGGCGTGCAAGGCATAAGGACGGAAGATGATGGCAGCCAGGCTACGGCGACATCCAGCTCTTCGAGGCAGAGCACTTTGCCACAGCTTCGCCCCTGGGCTTCAAGCGAGATGCGATGATCCAGAAACATGCTTTCGCTTTCTTGGGAAGTGCACCTTGGCTTCTATCAGCTTCTGCGCCGAAGAGTTGCTTCCTTGTTCACCTTCGAAAAGGTCGGGAAGTGACAAGCTGAGCATCGTCGACGCTACGATCCAATTACGAAGCGCGTCTGAAGGCGAACTTCGAGGCCCCTGCCGGCCAGCCAAAAAAGCCTCTCTGATGGGATGCTACGCCATATGGCAGATGCCATGTCGGCTTGACTGGCTTGATCTCAGACTGCAGAGCGATTGTCTTCAACTGCGAAAAGGCTTTCGCTAGCTTTCGTTTTCGCCAAACCCTAAACCCTAAACCCAGCACCCCGAACCCCGCCCGAACCACGAACGCCAGCAGCGGACCTGAAACCTGCTCCCGCAGTGATGCCCTTTTGCAGCCGCAGGCAAATCGATTCCATCAGCCTGTCACAAGAGCTGCTTGCACCTCTTCAATGCCGTTGAGGAGTCCTCTCGCAGATTTACAGACGCTCAAGCCTGACTGATCTTACGAGAAATACCTGTGTAAGCAAAAAACAGACATCAAGGGCGGGTGTCTGCGACTCTCCTTGAAGCGACTCAGTTTGCGGCCTGACCCCCGTCACTTCTTCGAGATATCTTGCAGCCTGCTGTCGCGATTACACGTGCGCAAAGTTCGGGACAAGATCTCACAGCATGTTGCAGATGCGGCCTCCATGGTCTCTCCTTTTGCACGGAAGTCGTCCAAATCCCGTGACACCAAATCTCCTGGAATATTTTTCGGAAGGCAGAGGGATCGACTTATTAAAAGGACAAAGAAATCTTCCCACTGCCCGGCAAGGTTCTCAAAAGCTCCCGTACAGCCCGGAGAATGCGCGAATGATGCGCACACGATGGCAAGTCTGGAAATCGGCGCAAGTGGCAAGCACGTACCAGTGGCAGCAGCGAGAGCTCTGTGCCTGTAGCTGACAGCTGCAGTGAAAGAGGGAGGGAGGCTCTTCACACATCTGTGCGGTGGGTGCCGTGGATACACCAGGAAGCCTTGTTCGGCATAGGGTTCTGTTCCGGTGCCAGTCATTGAGCCGCTGTGTTTGATGTACCTTTGCCACAGCGCACCGAAGATTCGCAGAGTGATCCGTTGCAAGTGCCCAGTATCGGCTCTGCAGCTCGAGCACAGGAAGGGCAACTCCTCCGCGGAGATCGGCAGGATCCCAAGCCTGTCACCATCGACTCAAGGATAACAAGAGTTTGCGTGGGGTTCATACTTTTGGATGCTGTGCTCTCATGGTTCTTCACCGTGCTTAGTGACAAAAGCCATCTACTGAATCAATCCAGTTCAAAAGGCAAAGCAAACGTCGAAGGCAGCTTCACTGCGCACCTTCCAGGATGCTTCACACCCGTCGGCCCACGCAGCAGACCCAGACCCTCATTCAGATTTCCAGCAGCGAAGCGGCGACCTGCCTGTCAATGCATTTCCTGTCCCTCCACATAGAAAGACTCTGGTGATAACTGAGTGGCCTCAAACCACCGCCGCCGGAAGCACAGAGTATTCTCCAAAGGCAGCAACTGCATGTCCTCACCTCAAAACACATCAATCCAAGATCATACGGCGACGGCACGTGCCCATGCTTCAACCGAAAAACACCCGCGCAGCACATCTTCGTTCAGCCAGTAGAAGAAACGCCTCTCAATTGCCACCTGCAGCAGATTAGGTCTAGGTTTCAGTTTGCCCATATGCACCGCAAGCAGGCACATCGAAAAAAAGGCATCTGCAAGTCCCGGAGCATCATGCAAGAATGCGAGAGAGCCACACAATTGCAGCGCCGGTTGCCACTCAAGAACTCTGCTTGCAATCGCACGCGGTCTACCGTGTATATGTCATCGTCGTCCCAAGTGCAGATGAATTCCGCGCTCGTAGATTCGGCTGCGAGGTTCCTCTTCTCTCCGATGGTGAGTCTCTTAGAGAGAAAACCTCACAATACATCAGACATTGTATTATGAGGGGACCCACACAGGAAGCACGAGTGCACAGCTACCAAATAAAGTTGCAGTTCCGGCACGGTACTGGATGTTATGGCGCGAGCTTGCTGCGAAGCGGAGGACATCCTTCTCGCAGCTGGTATCACTGTCATCAAGGATCAACACCTGGAAGGAGCTGTCAAAGCAGCCCAAAATGGCGTAAGGTGCAAGAGTCATGAGGTTTTTTTCCTTCGCCACGGCCTCGAGAGGCGTAGGATAGTCTTGTGCTTCGATCTGAAGAAGTGCTTCCAAAAGGAGGGACGGCCGATTGTAGGTCACAACCTGCTCTGAAAGTTAAGCAAAGATGCGAGGAACGGGACAACGCGGTACACGTCGTGACATCGGACAACGTCACTAAGTCACTAAGGCCACCACCTGCACACTGACCTTGGGTCACACGAGCAGAAAGGCGATAGCTGCAAGAACAGAAGCGAGCTTCTTCGAGCATCATCCCGGGAATCAGCAGACTCAAAATCATGGCAAGTGTCGGAGGGAAAAGACCCAGCGTTGGCTCTTGGAGCACACGCAAAGCACAGCGATCGTGACCAAGAAATTCCTGCACCTGAGTCGGAAAGGATGTCAGCTAGATGCACCGTCGCTGAAGGTTTCCCGTGGTTTTCACGATACGACTAGAAACTTTCTGCCACTGCACTCAGGGCTCCGAGAAGGACAAGACCAAGACCGAGTCCGTGCCGGGCTTGCCTAATCGGATCCGCCGGGGGCATCCGAACGAAGCGGCGCAGAGGCGCGGGCCCAGCTCAGAGCCAAGAGAGAGAGTGGAGCGATTAAAGCACTATTGAACACGAACACAAGCTCAATTCCAGATGCATGCCCCTGCCCCTGCCCCCAGCCTTCTCAACTATCGCACCGCCACGATGGACTGAAGTACAGAAGCCTTGCAACGTGCCTGAGATGAAGACAAGACTTCCTATAGCTAGGGCCTAGGGCGTCTCACTCGGATAAGGTCTCCAACTTCAGGCGCTTCTGAGAATCCTGCGGGCTGGGTCTCGCGTGCCGAACTACAGGATGCCCTGGCAAGGACTGGCGAAACAGGGCACCCTTCAATCAAAACGTCTCTCTGCAATTGGCTACATGTACCGTAACCCCACCCCACCATCTCTGCCATCCACCAACAAGCTCTGTCTGACGTATGGCATCGTACGTGCCTCCGCGGCCATCGAGCAGAGAGCACCTGCATCCCCAGGGGGTCGTGCTCCACGGAAGCGTCTTTCAGCGTCATGCAGAGAAAATAGGGGACCCTAATATAGTACCCTAAATAGTAAATAGTAGGATCCTTACTATAAGGACTCCAAACCCTGAAGCTTTTTCCCCTCTGGCTCTGCTCTGGATACTGCTTTGCCAGTTGTCTGTGATGAGCTGCAGCAGCCTGGACAAAGGACGTCCGAAGCTACGCGATCATTCCAGTCGAAAGGGCTAAGCCCCTGCCTTGTTACCCAACTTTTGCAGCGATTCGGCCATCCCCAGGTGAATTTTGCGGCTTGGATGCCTCAGAAGACAAGCTTTGTATACACTCCATGACAGCCATGTCTGAATCAGTTGCACTCCCCAAGCCCTCTGCCTTGCACCCAAGACACAAGGCTAAGGCGGCCTTGTACACGTCTAAAGCCACAGTTGCATCGCCCCCCTTTCCGGAAGGGCAAGACATGACACACAACTTGCGCCATCGCCCTTCGATACGTATCCCTACGGAGCGACAACTGGTACCCGTACACATACCCAGTAACCCTTCTAAGCCCGCCTTCATCTGCTCCTCTGCCATGGCTGTTAGCACAGTTGCCGGGTCCAAGTAAGGCCCCAGTGGCGCCAGCAGCTTCGATGCTTCCGACATGCGGCCCTCGACCACCAAACGTGCACCTGAGCTGAAGTGGCTAAAGCTTCCGGTCGCTTTCTTGGCAAGATCAGGGTAGGTGCACGTTACCTTGTTTCGCCGAGTAACTCACCACGGCAAGGCCCTCCCGCCATTTGCGACCTCCCGGATCCAGGGACTGTGCCATCGGGGCAGATGCCAGCTCCAGCCCTCACCAGCCAGAAGCACGCACGGCATCACGGCACGCAGAGACTGAACTGTCGCCCGACCTTGCCGCATCTGCTGCAGCGCCATAGCCTCCGAAAGCGGGAGCGGCCACCGACTGATTGCAGCAGAACCTGCGGCAAGATCAAGTCAGGCTCTTCTCTTTGATCCACGGTCTCATATCTTCAAGCCCTCCACTCAACCGTCAGAAGAACCTTCTCGCGCCTTCCGCCAGAGCCTCCTTCGCCATGCATCCACGAAAGATTCGCCAGGCCTTCTCGGCTAAGGCCAAGTTCCCTGGGGAAGAGTGGCAAGGTCCCAGCACTACAAGGTCCATCTCCTTGTGGCACCCCTCTGTCTCAAGCTTGAATTCCATCATGCACTTCCACACCTGCCACCATGTACCGGGTATCCTGGAGCCAGTTTGAAGAGTGGCACTCCTCTCAGAGCAACTTGGAGCAACAAGGGCACCGACTCCACGTCCTATGAGGCTTTCATTGTAGGTCAACGCAAGCCTGCGGATGACTGATCCCAGGCGCAGATGCGCAGCACTTCTTTGTTCGAGGGCGCTGGACCTCAGCGCCTCCTCATACATGTACGCCGCTTCTTCAAGAGGCTCTTGACGGCCCCGGGCTCCGGATTCCAGAAATGCACCAAAAATCACAAGGCCCATTGCCCGGAGTGGATCAGAGCCCGGTAGAAGGCAAAGCCGACGAAAATGCCCCTCGGCTGCCTGTCGATCTACATCTTGGAGTTGAACTGCAAGATTGAGCCGAACTTTGGGGGCATCTGCCACAGTGTCCAACTGCTGTTCTTCAGCCAAACGTAGCGCTTTCGTGTAGCTGGCAATGGCACCTGACCTGTCACCACCACTTGATCTAAGCTGACCCAAAGTGGCATGAGCATGCCAGTAGTCGTCATTGAGCCGAATAGCCTCTTCAGCATGCCACATGGCCTCCTGAAGATTACCGCCACTGTTCTGAAGTCTAGTAGCCAGAAGATCATGGAGCTTCTCATTGGAAGGATTCGCATCAACGCCGGCACGATACAACGACTCTGCTGTCCCCCAGACCAGACTTTGCTTCAAGCAGCTGCGAGCCCAACTTCCACACCACATGACGACAATGAGAAATATCACACATCTCCAAAGCCTGCTCGGCGGTCCATGAGCCGGCAAAGACACGCAGATAATATGACCAATGATGGAGCAGGCTGCTATAGATGGAAGATACAGCACGCGTTCGGCGACGGCAAAACCCACAGTGAACAAGACGTTCGAGAAAGGCACTATTGACAAAGCCATGAGAGCACTGGATAGCAAGAGTCCTCGATGGTAAGTACGAGACGCATGGCTGCCTGGCGTGTTAGTGGCGTGCATCATGTCAACTGACTGCAAAATACACTGCTGGCAATGCTCGAAGTGCTAGCTGTGGGACAGCTGTAGGCTGTTACGACCTGAGCAGATTACAATGCGGTCTGCCGCCAAGATACTGGCCAGCCCAAGCAAAGCCGCAGGAAGCCCGTAGATGACGCAGAAAGGCCCAAAACTTCGCATATCTGCAAAACTGTGGAGGAGTGGAATGGAACCATAGCTCCAATCACAGCAGAGCGGGTTCGGCCATAGAAGTAGCACCAAATGCCTGGACAGAGCACAGGTCAATATGTCGCTTCCCGACCTCACGCGACTAAGCATGCCTGTGCTGCAAACACATGAGAAGCAGTCAGCCTGTAAAGATAGAAGTGAAGGCTGAGAATCCGTGTCGCCATGTTCTCTGCGAAAGCTGCAGGATTGGATTCACGATGGAGAAAAGGACGCTGATGGATACCGCCGTGCAGCGATACCCGCGCAACTAGCAGCACGGCCAAGAGCAGCAAGGGCAGCACCGTCTTCAGTCGAGATGAAGGCTTCTTGAGCGATTCAAGTGTTTGCATGACTGTACACATCGGAAGAGCTACGACTGCCGCCGTCTCCTTGCAAAGCAGAGCCAGTGAACCCAAAAGCATCGACAAAGGCCAACGCTTGTTGGATGGCGACCATAATAGAATGCTCAATACGGTGAATAGCGTTGCAAGAAGCTCAGCACGACCGACTAGATTCGCAACTGCTTCGACATGCACTGGATGACATGCGAAGAGCATGCCGGCAACGAAGCATTCCTTGCCACTGAAGCCGAACTTCCGGTAAAGTGGAATCAACAAGGCTGTGTTGATGCCGTGAAGTATCACATTGATGCGATGCATCACGTTTGCAGCCTGTTTGTCAGCAGTGTTTGCCATTTGAGTCATCTGGACGCGAAACGTCAGAGTGGTCAGTGGTCGAAAACTCTTGTGGCTTTTCTCCGACTGAAGCGGAAACCCCCAAAAGTCGTTCTTGAGCAAATTCGCCATTGGTGATGAAGAGTACACGTCAGGATTCTGAACGATCGCATACGTGTCATCGTACACAAAGTCCCCTGTCAAAGCATTCCTTGGACGCTAAACTTGGATGCTAAACAAAGGAACAAACTTGCAACTTAGCCCTACAACTCGTTCCAGCTCTGCGGCCTTGCTTCCAAAACACAGCACAAGCAAAGCCACCGCTTGCTGCAGAGTAGAGGAAGAGCTTCCATTCCAAGGAGCGCACTGAAAAGCATTGCATGCGAGCTTCCTACACCAAATGCAGAAATGATGTACCTGGCAGTTGCTGCAAATGCCAAGTGTGCGCCAGACAGCGACTTCCAGACTACGGCCTGCTGGCCACTGGCCCAGCAGGTCGCCACGAGCCCAAAGAAATCTGCAGAAAAACACTGCGACTGCGCACACAAGGATCCCACATGAACAAACCTGTGTACACGCGCAATGCAAGCAGTTCTACATAAATGCATGCGTACAGCATCATCAAGTTATGAGCAGCATCATCACGGAGATAAGACTGCCTGACAGTAACAAGTACAAATACCACCTAGGGACCGCTGTACAGCGTAGGTCAGGAACAACGAAAAGCAGCTGAGCATCTTACGTCGTACATGCCACACACGTACGAGAAGATAGTCAAGTCGCCGCGTGCTTGTAAGCATCCAATGCACAGGATCTATTTATCAAAAGATAGACATGTTCGTACGGAGTATGCGTGTGTCTGAACATATTATACGTATGTACATCCAAGACACATCGTGTATACGTGTATGTACACATAATATACAAATTTATTTGTCCCGGTTCGCCGTTGATTGGGTTTGCAGAGGATTGGTATGTACTTTCGAAAACATGCGAATACACACAGGCAGCAATCTACATGGATACATGTGACCACAGACGTGTCCTTCTGTGGGATCGTAGATGGATACATCTGTACAGAGTATGCAGGTCAACTGGCAAGCATACATCTACATGTGCAAAAACATGTCGGCTGTAATACAAAACTTGAAGATGCACTCATGGTGCTTGATCTTGATATGACTTACAGTTTGTCTCGGAGTATGTACTGACGGACGTCGGAAAGGAAAAGACATTTACTTGGGTGTTCACATATGTGCACATACGACCTTATTATGTGATCATGCATTATCTTGGACTGGCTTGCTTATGGACTACACATGTACACTAACAGAATTACGCAAGCTCATTTGCACATGAGGGTTCCGAAAAAGGTACACAAACATCGAAACATATAATGGTCCACGACAGTACACAGCCGTGACATGTGCAGATTCACATTCAAACATACATCGGCAGAGGTAGCATGGCGAATGGTGCTTTTGCACATGCTTGTACGTCTTGCAATGCATGCTTCTGTGTGCGTGCGTGCAGAAATGCAGGTGTGCGCTTATCAATTGCATGTCATGTGAGACTCATGTGAGCATGTGCAGGAAGGATGACGTGATTGAACTGGCTGAGCGCACCGGTTGCTGCCCCGTCTGCGGTTGCAGGCCTTGCTGCGAGAAAGGCAAAGCATCTTCGATTGATTGTGGGGACAACTCCAATCATGAACATCACAGCCTGCCTGGCAGTGCTCCACAAAGTGTTCGCAAGGACCGAAGGCTCCAGGGGATCTGCTTGTTGCAACCTCGGTCAAGTTCTTGCAACCTCTATCGTATCGCACTTCATGCTGCCCACGTAGGGAGGGGCTATGCTCCTCTTGGAAAGCTAGGGCAACATTTCTTCTGACACCACCTAGGTCCCAGGACCTATGACCTACGACCTCTACCTGGCTCTACGGCTACTGCTACTCCTGCTGCTGCTGCTCCTGCTCCCGCTCCCGCTCCTGCGCCTGCTCCTGCTGCTGCCTGCTGCTGCTGCTGCAGCTGCTGGTGCTGCTGCTGCTGCTGCTGCTGGTGCTGCTGCCAGTAGCAAGACAACGCAAGATTGCTTCATCTGTATCTTCGCTGAAAACTGCATCAATTCCGCAGCTCATGGGAAGTTACAGACGGCAGACACCCGGCCTGTCTTTTTGTATAAGTCGACATGCATGCTGGTGGAGGGCAGTACAGACTACTGAACACGATAGCTATTCAACCGTCTGTGTGGGAAACTCTCGAACTAAACAGGCACACACAGACACACGGTGACAGCTTGTTCTTCACTTATATCGAGCACGGCGATGATGGACAGTGAGCTGTGTGCATTGGCATGTTTGTGCCCTTCCGTCGCCTCTTTTTGGCTGCGCCCCGGTTGGCAAAGTCATGTGTCCCGCCGCTTTGGCGGTGCAGACAAATCGAGCTGCAGGTGCAGCAAGAGTGTGCTTTAGCACAGCTAAGCCCAAAAGGGCACCTGCTCGTAGAGCTTCGAAATGCCATGGGCGGGGAGGGCGGGGCCGAAGTTCTGCGAGCCTCCTCATAGCAAAAACATGCTGAAGCATGTTTGTGCCCTTCCGTCGCCTCTTTTTGGCTGCGCCCCGGTTGGCAAAGTCATGTGTCCCGCCGCTTTGGCGGTGCAGACAAATCGAGCTGCAGGTGCAGCAAGAGTGTGCTTTAGCACAGCTAAGCCCAAAAGGGCACCTGCTCGTAGAGCTTCGAAATGCCATTCCACTTCTGACAAAAACCGGACTGCAAAGCGAGGCGGCAGTCGCGTTCCGATGCCGCTCTGTTGTCCGCGAGGACTGCAGTGGGCGAGTTAACTGCTTTGAACCAAGTGCGGGTAGAGCTGAACAGCAGCACGAATGTAAACCTTCGCATCAGGCGATGCGTTTCCAAGAGCGGACAGAGCCGCCACTTCCTGCAAATAATGTTCCAAAGTAGCCATATGCTTTAAGCGAAGCTTCCACTGTATGTCCGCCACAGGCACCCCGCGGTGGTAAGCAGCGACAGCCCCGCCACCACGGAGCCCACCTGGCGTGAGCGCACAACCGTCGCCCAACGCGAGCGCCTGCAGAAGCCTGTCCCAGCGAGTTCTAAAGGCCGACGGGCTCAGAGGAAAAAGCCGGTCGCCGGCACCCAGATCGCCAAAGGCCAGGATGATGATCTTCATCGCCAACTCGTCATCGACACGTATGTGTTGAACCTTCGGCCTTCCGCGCTGAGACGTCTTAGAAGAATCTAAGCGCAGAAAGACCGCGTTGGTAGCCAGAAAAAGGTCCTCAGGAAGAACGAGCTGCTCGCGAGTGCAGCTCAAAACCTCTCCGATACGGGCCATCCCATAAAAGGCCAGCAAGGCACAACCACTCCACTTCCTGAAGCCACGGAGCCAGCCCAGTGTCACAAGCGCCTTGATTAAGGCTTCCGGGATCGGCGTCCTGTGAATCGTCGGCTCGACAGCCTCCCACCGTGTCAGCAACTCCCAGGCTGGACCCAGAGCACCTTTCAGCGTCATCAGAGCCCTCTGAGCTCCCACCAGAGTGTACCTGGACGTATGCTTAGAGCCACCTGAGCAGTAGAGCTCGTTGCCGTAAGCTCGAAGGGCCATGGCAGCGAGGGCGGGACAAGACGCGAAGAGAGAGACAGGATCGACCGAGAGGAAGAGGGCGGCCCAACGCAGGAAGGAAAGCCAGGCCGAAGTGCCCAAAAAGAGCGAAGTCTGAGATTGAAGCGGGCGACTCTCAAGGTCGCCGTGGCGGCGAGGAAGGCCTCGGCGCGCGCCTGGGTTCTTGGCTTCACCAACTCGGCAGTTGCACCCAAGCTTGGCGCATGCAGAAGGATCGAGAGCTCGCTGCTCAGTCCAACCAGCAGCTGCAGCAAGAGAGGTGGCAAGAATCTCGGCAAACCCAGCCGGAACGGTAGAAGCAACAGAAGTCCATGGCAACCGGTGCTCGCGAGCATGGCCAACCAGTCGTAAGTGTTTTTGCGAAGAACGGCAGAGGAGGCGAGCCCCTGCCAGGCCACAAGAAATGGCCACACGAGTGCGCTTTCTCCACAGACACCCAAACTGGCACATGTCGGCACGAAAGATGGTCGTGGCACGCGGAGAGACAGTGTCGTCCCAACCCGGGAGTCGCCACAGAAACGACGCATCAGGATGGCTGAACCAATGCAGGATCTTCTTGGAAGCACACGACGCCCTAAGCTGCGAAGCCCATGCGGCCGTTATCAGCCTGGACCTTAGCAAAAGACAGAGGAGAAATCCCCGGCTTGCCACACGGGAAGGCGCCGGAGCGAAGCGAGGGGCGGTTAGCCCGAGAAAGTGAGGGACACTGGAAGGAACCTCCAACAACAAGGAAAGCACCTTGCCTGACCAGCAACTCGAGAAGAGCCCGCAGCGAAGATGAGCTGAGATCCTCGGCTGGACCCCTGCTCGGCTCAACAGTCAGCACCCAAGGAGCTCCCGCACGGATAAGGGCACGGGCATAAGAACCCTTTCCAGACCAGAGGTCGAGCACACCAGGCAGCGCCAAATCCAAGGAGGCGCCAGCCTTGCACAGGAACTGTTGCACAGGAAAGGAAGCTAAGGCCGGCCAGAGACAGCTCAGCCCCTCACTTTGCAAACTTGCAGGCCACGCATACAGGCGCACATGGATTCCGGACCCTACGCGAGTATTTCCACGCAAGGAGCTTTGAGAGCCCACGTTCTCGGTTTGACCGCAGCACAACAGGCCGCGAGCCACCAAGCAACAGCAGATCATCCTGGTCAAACGTCGCAGGCTCGGAATCCCGCGCAGGAAGAGCAGCGAGAAAGGCTTCGAGAGGCAAAGAGTTCCCAGCCTCAAGAGCCTCCCACCAGTGAGGTTTTTGCAAAGAGGGACGTCGCACCTCCGTGTCCCTGGTCGGGTCGTCTGCTGGGTTCAAGGCTGAGGGCAGGAAGAGGTGAAAGGGGAACAATCGTGAGCCGAGGAGCGGCCCCAGCGATGCACGCAGCATCTTATTCAAGACGCCGCTCGCGCTTCGACCCTTCACTAAAGCCCCTAAGCAAACCTGAGAATCTAACCCTGAGAGCGGACGGCCGCAACGGACACGACCGGCAACACGTGCCTCCTCATGCAAGTAGGCTCCCAACTCAGCAACGTGAATGCGAGCTTTGTGCGGCTTTCTCCACCGGGTGCGGAAGGCAGGCACGCGTGCGAAGGCTTCAGCAACGGGGTGAGCGGTGAACACGGTGTCCCCAGGGAGCTCGCTCTCGGGCTCAAGCAAATCATGCTCTTTTAGCCATGCGGCCGGCGGCGGCAACAGTCGTGACCAAGCACCACGCTGCAGAGCAAAGCGCTGGAACTCTTCAACGACAAGCGGGTCGACCTCAGCGCTGACAGCAGCTTGCCAGGAGCTTGACGCGTCAGTTGCGATAACGGTCTTCAGAGGCAAAGCCCTCAAGTCGACAACGGCAAGGTGCCCCACGCATATGAACGAAGAGAGCTCGCTCTTGAGCTCGGGAGACAACCGCAGGATCGTTTGCGGCGTACCACCTCGAACGTCAACAAGGCTCAGCATGCGACGCCGCAGCATGAAGACAGCGACCCAAGAACCGAGTAAGCTTTCCAGCAGTGCTCGTATCGAGAGTCGAGAGGCCAAGTTGCAGAACCCTGACCGTTATCAGCACCAGCGCCCAGTAGCGTGACGGACTCGCTCTCACCAGACCCGCGCGACCGCACCAGTCGATACCGCAGAAAGCGGCCTGAGTGCAGTCCTTGAAAGTCTTTTTGGCACTATATCTCAGCTGAGCCGAATCATACCCGGCCAGAGCGGCATCGAGCCGTCGTGAGGCCCCGGAAGAACCGGGCTTCTCGAGATAGCCAGTGAGCTGGGACACAAGGCACTTCTGCAACACTATGAGGTCATCTATGACCAAGCCCACAGAGAGAACTCCGCTCGGCGGGGCGTGAGCTTGCATCAGCAGCTCACCGAGATGCACAGCCCGGGATTGCAGTAAGACGCCGAGGTGACTGCACTGAGCGAACTCGCAAGTTGAAGAATCGCCCATGGCGAGAGAAGATAGCCCGCATAAGACATGGGAACCATGATCACCGAAGGCTGTGGGCTCACAATCGAACACAAAACCGGCTTCATCGTGCGAGAGTCGGCAGGCGAGGTGATTTCTCACCACACGCTCCTCAGAAGCCTTGAACTGGTAGAAGCAATCCTACAGATCAGTCCCACACATCAGCAAACCTTCTGCAGGCTTGAGCACCAACCCGCTCAAGCAGGATGCACTAGCAAGGGTGTGCACCCAATGACCTGAAAAATCCTCAAGCTGATTGGCCGGTCTGGCGTCAAGCACCAATCTGTCCTTCGAGTCGTCTTTTGGGGTCTTTTGCCACACAGAAAAGGCCTGCCCCCCACTCCAAGCGAGAGGCAGGGACATCACGCACGGCACGCAAGCGACCGGAACGGGCGAGGCCGCGCAGGAGCAGAAGCTTTTGCTGGGGATCAGCCAGAATCTTTACGAAAGGAGGCTGCTCAACATCCGGGTCGGGAACCCGAGCGTGGTGCAAAGGGAACCGGTAAAACTCCCGTGTCGTGTGGTCCATAAAAGGAGCGAGGTCAAAGGCAGGTGAAGCAGGAAGCTTGACACGATCAGCGACTATGGGAATCGAGGCAACATCGGGCCGCCCAGGCAGCGAACCGACAGCCTCCGCAGGGGACGGCCCCTCAGGCAAGCAAGCAGGCTCGGCACTGAACGTCTTAGGGATATACCCGGAAAAGTCGCGACACACAGCAGCAGCTGCCCGGCCAAGCAAATCCCAACGTCTTTGCCTGCCCCTCAACCTTATGACCAATGCGTCCATAATCATGCGGTTCAAAAGTCAAAGGGAAAACGCTACCGAACACCAGATGCTCAAGATTCCTCACAATTTGCCACTGTTTGGGATTGAGCGGCACACCAAGGCGCACTGGGCAGGAAGCTGGGCAACCCATATGCTCGTAGGACAGACAGGCCACCGAAAGATTGATCAGCAGCTTTTTCCAGCCACCCACAGTGCCAGCAGCGAAGGCCTCAGGGAAAGGCATCGGGCAAGGCCAGGTGAACGGTGTGGGAGATCGGTTCTTCTCCCTAGAGAGCGCAGACTGGGAGACTGCTTCGATGCGGTGCCCCTCCCGGTATAAGTTTCGAGACAGCGCACCATCGCTTGCGCAAACGCCTCGGCTGGGTCGGCTGCAACCGTTGGCGCTGGAACCTCGGGAACAGTCTGCCTCACCTGAGCTTCGGGGGGCGGATCCTCGTCGGATTCGTCGAGGGCTGATGTCGCCCTGTGCTTGGGCGCCGCTTTTGGCCCATCGGCCCGAAGCTGAGGAGCCGACGTGACCATGCGGCTCATCTCTGCTAGCGCATCGGCCTTGACGCCTGCTGCCAAAGCCGCTGCAACCACCCCTCTGTCCAAGCCCGGGAAGAGCCCCTCGGTCGGACCCTCGTGCTCGGCCTCCTCTGCCTTTGGCGCGGCGCTCCGCTTGAACAGGGCCCACGAGGCTTTCGACTTTGGAGCTGCACCTAATGATCCCTGAAGCTCCGCACTGTGTTGCGAGGCTGCAGTGGCAAGATTTGCGACCGACCGTTCCAAAGCAGACAACCGCTCCAACAGACCTGCCCCGACACCCTCGGACGCGGAATGCATTGGAGTCGAGTGTGCAGCACCTGCGACCTGAGACTGCCAAAGTTCGGCCAGGGCCTCTACGGAAGGAACCACAGTCTCCCCAGCTGGGGTAGATCCGAAGCCGACCTAAGGCGCAGTGTCGCTCACCTGAATCGTCGCCTCCGCCTCTCCTTCGCAAAGGCCAAGCCAAACCCTCACAGTTACACCGGCAACCTCGTTTCCTCGGTCGGTGAGGGCTGCGGCGGCAACTTCCGCGGCCACCACTTTCGAAAGAAACCCCTTCGGGACTGTTCGCCTGGCGATGGTCCTGTGCCAAGCGGCGGCCGGCAAACAAATCATCAACTTTCCTTGCACCTCTCCAACGATCAAGCAATGCACTGTAACCTGGGCTCCCTGCTCGTCTTGCCCACATGGCAAAATGCACAAAGGACAAAGAGGATCCAAGAAGCCCTCGCCAACCGCTGCGCAATCCCGAGCAGTGAGCGCTTCTCCTTCCAAGCCAGCTTCCTCCTCCGAGCCTCCATCTCACCAGCTGCGAGGCAACTCGAGAGAAGCTGCGGAGCACACGGCTATGATGTCCTGACGGGCCGGGAGACCTACGAAAATACTATCACCACAGTCGCTGCCGCGCTTGCAATGCCGCGCGCACTCAGCGAACGATTTGCACACAGTGACCGGACGATGAGTGAAGCCCGCGAAATCCCTGACGACTATCCAAAACCTACTCTGCAACTCAAGGCGATCCCTGCCACTGGCACCCCGATGCTCTCCGTTGAGCGATCTCCTCAAGAAGAACCCAATCTCCCTGCAAGCCGCGGCTCGTTCAGCGGCGGGAATGGGCCCGGAATGTAATGTGAAGAGGCCGAAGCGGCACCAGACAGATTCCAAGCTGTCAACGGTTCCGAAGTAGTGCGGGCGGACTCTGTGCTAGTTCTCTGACGCTCCTGAGGCGCTGAGCTCGAGCGAGGAACCTCGGGCTGTGTCGCTTGCACAAGATCAAAGGAAGAGCTCCGAGAGGGAGCGCGATCAAGGCGGCGCTGAAGATCGGCCACCTGTTGCCGGAGCTCAAAGACCAACTCCTCCAAGTGTTGCACACGGAGCTCAAGGCTCATGCACGCCCTACGGGTTCCCGCTTATAAGGCGATACCGAAAAGGGGGCCTAAGGAGCCTATCTAGCCGAACCCAGACTAAACCCCTTATGCACAGCAGAAGCTCAAGGGCCGGGAAGAGGATAAGTCCAAAGCAGAGCCCGAGCAGCACAGAGGGAAGATGGAGCTTCCCGGGAGGAAAGTCGAAGAAATCCAGGGCAGAAGTCGGGCAGACCGGACAGTCCAAGAAAGGAGTAGGTTCAGACGACTCGAAGAGACGACCAAGACGAAGAAGCAACGACGTCAGGGACAGACCGGCAGACGACGAGACCAAGGCTCGAGACATCCAAGCCTGAGCCGAAGTTCTGCGAGCCTCCTCATAGCAAAAACATGCGGAAGCATAACTCCGTCAAAGCCAGTGCAGGATTGCAGCTGCATGAGTTCTCGCCCATCCGGCCGAAAAGCAGCTATGTGTAACATGAATCTGAATGTGACAGGCCATGCTATACCACGCAAGGGCGGGGAAAGCGATAATGGAGCCAGGCGCGATGGGAGAAGTAACCTGTAAACCGAAGCTATAGCTAAGCTTTGCCTGGTCCAGCTTGGCGGTCCACGGCAGAATGCCCATTCCGTAAGTACCGGGCTGCAGCAAGACACGGTGCACGAGGCTGACCTGAGCCGAGGCAAACCAGCAAATGTCACCGTTCTCGAGACTACAACTCCAAGATGCCAAACATGAGGATGTGGCAACGGCGGGATCCTGGCCTGCGCATCCATTCTGCCAATATTGTTCTGCAAGTCTTCGATTCATCATATCATCCCTTCGCACGAGCCTTCCGCATTCGCACCCTGGCGTTTGCATCATCAACAGCCCGGAATCACCACTAAACAGACTGGTACCTCTGCCACGCCCTACAACGCCGCGACCAGCTCGTGAACCTGCCCAGGCGGCCCAGGCGGCGCTTGGGATGTGGCTCCATGCCCTTGCCATGCCTCTCGCAGCCCGAGCCGCTCAAGGAAGGTAAAGGGCTCGCCCGGGGTCCGTGCTCGCACCGCCTATAAGAGACAAAGAAAGCAGCGAAAGGGGTAGCCAGCAAACAAAGGACACAGGCAACAGCTTCGGCTAGACGTGCATTGCTGCATTGTCCTGTCCTCGCGAAGCTATCGCAAGGCCGCTGCATCGGACGAACCTGTTGTGTTTGCGATCAGTTGCAGCTCGCGCTTCATTCCAGGGCTGGGTGGCATGGCCAGGAATACCTCGAAGAAACCTTCAGATCTCGCATCTGAAGTATAATGTAGGGGCGGTCAGGAATGCTACTAGTTATCCCAAACTCATGCACACTAGCCTAGACGATGCAACAAAGCGGCGTACTCCATGCACAAGGAATTTGCCTTTGGCCAATCCCCTCCGTCCAGACGACCCAGCCCTCTGCCTCTGTGCCTTGCCCCCACTCTCGGAAGCTCATGTCGTGAGAACGTAGAATGTGAACTGCAAGCAAAGGTAAACCTGAGCTTCGGGAACCGAACCGTGAAGCAAAACCCTAAGCATGTGCCATCGACACGTGGCATGTGCGCTAGAATCGCTAGAAGGCGCAAGAACTTCTTGGCACAACACGTTCCGCAGGAACAGTCCTTGCCAAGCCCTGTTGGCTTGGCCGTTTCACGGTCCCCCCGGCAAGCCAGAAAGAGAGGACCATGGAAGGTGACAACATGTTGCAACTCCATAGGCATTTGCCCAAGGAGCCAAAATCAAAATCCAATGAGCTTTTGAAATCTGAAGTTGGCCACGCTATGAAACAAACCTAACAAGCATGAACGAGTCAATATCTGTGAATCGAATGTCATGGACTAGTCACAGTGTCCGGCCACTCCAAGGCAAAGACGCCGGCCACAAGTACCATCAAACGATGGCACTTCGACGTTTCTGTTGTGAAGCTGCTGAGCATGCCTGTCCCACTCTGCTAAACTGCTAGACTCCTAGACTGGATCGGCTTGAACACCATGGTAGCTTCAATCCAGAAATAGTCATAGCATCTGCCAGGCTCTGAAAAGATTCGCTGAAAGCCGTCAGGGCACCATTGCACTGTGGCCGTTTTCGTCGGGTCCTGTGCGGCAAGCAGGACGAGGCTGAGAGCTGCCAAATCACAGAAAGCAGCAAAGCCCTGCTACTGTGACGTGATTGCTCAAACTTTTCGGTCCTCGCATTCATTTGGCCACTTGCATTCCTGCCGGGCAGCATGATCCGGCAGGTAAGTGGCCACGAACAGTTCTCTACTTGAGTGCTTGCTGGCAGAACCCAACCTGCGCACACCAGCTTCTTGTACTCGTCGAAACTGAGCTTTCCATCCTTGTTGAGGTCTGCACCTGGGGAAAAAATCGTTCGCGGTTTCACGAGGTGGAGATGTCGTTGCCACACATCACCACATTCGCCACACATCACCACATTCAGGCAAGAACGTTTGAACACCGCGTCAATCTGGTCGTCAGACAGTTCCACCTTCATTTTGCCCAGCACCTGAAAATGGCTTGCAGATCTCTGCATCTAAACACACGAACACACAGCAAGCAAGAAGTCCGATGTTCATGCCGGGCAGCTGTTTTGAGTTCAGCCGCTTCGATGTACTTGGAACCATTGGTATCAATGTCATCGAAAGCCGCTTTGAGCATGCTCAGCTGCTCATCCGACATCTCTGGTTCCTCTGCCTTCTTCTCTTCAGGCTTAGCCTCCGTAGAAGGCGTCTCCCCCGTTGCCGGTGCCGCAGCGGCTTCTGCTTTCGTCTCGACTTTCGCAAGTGCTTCTGTGATTTTCTTCTGCTCCTGGCTCAATTCTCCCATGATGCCATCGTTTGCCACAGCACTGTAGCAGAATTACACTCCACTGCTCCCTACTTACTGTCGAAGCCGTCCTCTGCTGACAGCGCGCCGAAAGTCTCCTTGAGCTGAGCTGGAGTTGCGTCTTGCACGCCGGAAGCCACGGATGCTCCGCTTCCCATGGTGGCACGTGCAAAGTTCGCTGCTCAGTATTCTGACAGGATCAGGAGTTGCTCGAACCAGGTCATGTCACCAACGCATCGTGATAAGACAAAAACATGCGGATATGGACAGGTGAAGCACTGGAAAAAAACCTTTCAGGAAGCACTGAACACTGCACCTGTCCTCAGCCACCCGGCCTCTTCTCAGCCTTCTGCAAGTGGTTCCCGGGTCAGACGTGCCCTGGCCAGAGCTCTGCTGGCTTTATGGTTCGACAGATCGCAGAGCACCCCCAACTTCCTAAGACCCCGGCCTCCATACAATGACAAGCATCCCATAGCTCTTAGGCTCTTGTTGTGTTGTTGTTCACAGCTCTACCCGAACGGTTGCTTCCTCAAGAGCGGAGTCTTGGTGAGGAGCTGGATTCAAGTCTTCTGGCTTACGGCTTCGTAGCTACCAAGCTCAAGCTTTGCCATGGTATGCTGCTGATCCATGTTGATGCTCCAGCAAACTCTGTGCCACATGCAGTGACAACAACATGCTAGAACCATGCATGAAAGCCGAAACCGTCCGGGCCCGAGGACATGACGTCTAGAAACCAGTTGGGTCTTCGAATTTATCCTTCATGCTAGAAACTTGCACCTTGCCGCATCCTGCAAATGTTGTCGCGCTTTTAGCCAGCTCAGAACTGAGGCCGCCTGGACCAGCAAAGCCGGGAGAGGTTCCAGTCCCCTTGAAGTCTCACAGGCACTGGTCAGTACATCGCCTGCCGAAATGCGACTGTCCGTTTCAGCTCCAATGCTCTGTGGACATCTATCACACCTGGACTGACAGAAAGACCCTCTGGAGGGACGTGCAAACGACCACGAAGATCCTCACCAGCTGCTTTCATGACGAGTCACAGGCCAACGCGTCTCCGATGGTGGTGGGAAGCTGCTGCTGTAGCAGCAAAGCCCGGTCCCAGATTTTTGAGCACGAAAGGGTCCTGATTTCGGGCTCCGGCAGATCGCTGAGTGACAAACCGCTGCAAGCGAGCATCGTCATGATGGAGCTGCAAGCGAGGTCGTCATACTTCAGCATCAGCAAGTTGAAGGCCTGATTGCGCGACTACTACAGAACCAAGGCAACTATGTTGCTGGCAGGCCTGGAGGGCATGCAATGCAGTCGGCCATGCTGATGCCAGCAGAGAAGTTGCAGAAAAGCGATCTGGACGGACGGCGGCAAGCCTCTCGACGCTGTAGGAGGTTCTCCGATGGAATGCAGTGTTGAGTTACTCACAAACCCGTGCTCGCTATTTCTACACATTCCGTCTTGGGCGGTTTGACAAAGAAAGACCCGCATTCATCCTGAGTTGTCCAGTGAGCTCTGCAGACCATCGCCAGCGCTTCCCACTCTCACAGGCAAAGGCAGCAGTGTTAATCGCAGCCGCCGAAAGCGGAAATCCTGCCAGGCACAGGAACCCGAGAAGGCCAATTCAGTGAGGTCGTATCATGTCGAAGGCTGACGAGCTGCCCTCCAACAGGAGCATTCGCCTGCCTTCCTGCGTGGCTTCGTGTATTCCTTGTGTTGCAGATCGCCAAGCATGGCCTTTTGCAGCTGCGCTGAGAGCTGCCTGGTGCACCTCAATTTGCCAAACACCAGAGTTTTCGCAGACTGCTCTAATACGGCTCCGGAAACAGGTGTTGCTTGGCATAGGTCGGATCAGACCCCCGAAGCTTCAAGCCAGAGTGCCGTCAAGTCCAGCCGTGTGGAGCGCCGGCGGAATGCACGCAGCAGCTGCGCCACAAATTGCCAGCGCTGGCCCCTGCAGATGGCCATCGACTTTGCGATATACCGTACTTCCCTAAATCCTGAATACCCCGTTCAAGCACCGATGACCCTAAATGTCTACCAAAACCCGCCAACCCTGAAATGTACAAAACTCTCACACCTCTAACCCTAAAAATCTGAAAACTCTGGAAAAACCAGGCCTCTCACAGCCGGCCAAGGTGGATGCACACGTAATTGCATCGGGCCTGGCGTTTGGGGTTTCGGCGTTTCGGATTCAGGATTTCTGGCTTTCCTTCTTTTGAGGGCCTGTTCTGAGTGTGCAGGAGGCTACCGGATTTAGGGGTTTGGGCTTCAGGGCTTGCGGTTCCAATCAGCCCAGTAAAAGGGCGTGAAATGAGCTTCTGGGGCTGTGTAAGGTTAGGGTACAGAAAGAACACACCCGATAAGATCTACTCTGCATGATAGTGGTCGATGCAAGAAACGCGAGACGATGTGCAAGAATAGATAAGGAACCTTGCGAAGCGGAAAGTACACACGATGCACAGACCCCCCGAAACTCTTTACAGTCAGACCCGTCCTCGGGCCACATGAGCACATCTTGCTGAGTATCCATAAGGACAGCTCCCAGCGACTGCCTCTGTGGCAGGCTGTGATTCCTGCAAGCAATGCTTGATCTTGACATGTCTTTCGCTCCACGCTATCCCAATGCCCGGTTGAATCTTCTGATGATCCCGCTTCGCTCACTCGTAGTCGTCATAGTCAGCTCTTAAACTGTCCTGCATTCAGAGTCGGCACCGTCAGTGATCCATCACCCCAATGCGACAGGAGTTGGAAGACTTCGCGCCATGTACCCACAAGAGAGCTCAGCACCAAGCTGCTCGACGAGGCTCCAGGCTGCAGGGAGCAAGGCTGCACTACTCACATGCTCCACAACTACGTGGACCCAGAAAGCGACTATTCGTTCAGACCTCTACCATCATCAACGATCTGGCATCTGCCCACTTAGCAGACTGGGTTCGAAGTGCAGCGATAGCTGCATTGCCACAGACCTGCGGCAAAGGGTCTTTCGGCACAACACAAACAGTTTGCTATGTCAATCGAAACTGGCCTCATTCGGGTAAAGCGACCGGGGACGCATCTCGAGGAGAGCTGCAAGTGTTACCTGCTGTCTTCAAGCTTGAAACATTCTGCATGAAGCGGTCTCAGAAAATCATTTTGCAGCATCTGCGCCGACTAGCCACAGCATCTGGCGCCACACATGCAACGGAGTCGCTTCCCAAGCAGCTGCTCTTCTGGCTGTGGTCAACATGGCACCGAAAGTCACCAGGTGCAGCTTCACGCCATTACAAGCATCACGCAAGATTGAAAGCGCCATTGGCCAATTGGCTTGGATCTCACAAGCAGAGATTCCTCCAGCGCCGGGCACACGTTTAAATCTCAGCGCTTCAGCAACACCAAACATTGGAGATTCACCGCTCCTGCGTTGAAGGTGACCACGTCGTGGCTTAGGTCCTCTGTCCGCAGCATGGCGGACAGGTGTGCTGACTGCTTCCAGGCACCCCCTCTGCCACAGGCGGAAATAGCCGAGTTGAAAGAGATGTGATCGTGGTCGAGCCTCGACCTCGCAAAAGCTACAACATGTTTGCAACCCAAACTTGTTCAAAACCAACCCTTGCTTTGCAAGCGCGGCTTCTGCCTTCGCATGGCACTGAAGGCACATAAAGCCCTCAGCCATATCGAACCTTTGCCGATTGCCGAGACCAGTGCGTTGCTGATTGAAACCTCGCCACGTTTCTCTCCCAGTATCCGCAAACAAATGTGCCTGTCTCCAATAGCTGTGGCCAAGTGCGGTGCTTTCTGATTCTCAGATCCCGACATCGAGTTGCAGTCTTCTCGGAGACAGGTTTGCGATAATGTCCGATGCCTTCCAGATCGGAGGGATGAAGCGGAATCCCCATCCAGGCATGTGTGAAGCACTCACATGGAGCTGCATCTAGCATCCATACACCATTCGATAAAGCTTGGACTGCAGCGGTTAAGCTCACGAGTGACCTCAGGATCACATTATGTATCATGTACTATTTCCAGTAACACCTCCTTTGGGCAATAATGGTGTTCTGATGCTGCTCGGTGTGCCATATATTCAGCATCTACGCTGGAGGGGTTGTCTGCTACAGGGGAGAGAACACCACAGGATCCGCACACATAGTCTCGCCTGCTGCCATCGCTTCTGTTTGGCGTGAGACGCAACTGCGCTTGCAGAACCTGCCAGCGCATCGCGCCGGACAGGCCTGCAGCTGAAATGCAGCCAATGTTGCAGTCCAACACGCACTTGAATCTATTGCACCATGCACGTCGCCTCACATTGACTGACGCGGACGGCGACGTTGTCACGAAAGAAGCACCAAGCAGCCATCCAGCTGATGATTCCGGGCAGAAACACGAGCACACTATCAGCGAAACATGATCTAGGAATCTAGGACTCGCACAACTTCTCACTTCATGTACAGATGACACATGTATTGTTGATTCGCATGATATTTGCGACGATAAAATGCATGTGCCTCATTTTGGCAGTTTACTGTGCTGGCCCTTCTATCCCGAACCAACACACCGACTTTGCTCAACAACCGCTTCTTTGCTAAGACTATTTGTTTGACACTCGCAGCTGACCCGGGAAGCAAAAGCAATGATGATTTGTGCAAATCGTGCGACTTGGTTGACATGATCAATCCCACAAAAACAAAGCAAGTCCACACGTGACTAGGATCTAGATTTGTGGGATACCATCAGTGTGACGATGATGGTCACGATGATGATGCTGATGTGATGATGCTGATGGCTGATGTGAAGGATGGAAAAAGTAACAATCATCGGGATTGCCGTTTGCATTATCGGGAAACAGTATGGTTTACAGTATTGTGATGGTGACGCTGGCTATGGTGATGATGATGATGATGTGATCACGACTAATTCATGTTGTTGCTGGTGATGGTAAACTGTACGGTGGGCGCTGATGCTTCTAATGCTGATGACGGTGATGATCAAGAGATGATTTTGATGATGCTGAAAAATGAAAACAAGCTCATTCTGTTGTCAAAGTTTTTTGTAACATTGTCAGAAAAGACCTTTGAATCTTGAAGAGCCCACGGGTGCGGCATGGTTTGAGCTGTAGATACTTTTTTGGACTCTTACCCAAACTTTCTCACAGCTTCAACCTTGAGCATCAAGTCCAGGCCACTGAAGCTACGAAATTTACCCGGCGCACCAAGCTGAAACAAAAACAGATTGTAGGACTTCAGAACATTGTCGGCCCCCAAAAGCCGCCAAACGGTTGAGTTGTGGGACTTGTAGTTGATGCAGCCCCATTCTGCTGCTCATTGAATGTCGACGGTTCAAAGATGCCATTGTGGCATGCTGGTGATGAACAAGAAGGAACCCACAGAAGATGAGAAACTGGAACCTGTCACAAATCCCTTCTATGGAGATCTAATCCCGGATACTGATTCTGAAGAGAACGTGAAACGACCGGAGTCTGTTGAGAATGTGGAATCGAACCGAACTTACATGCAGAAGACCACGGACTCTGGAGAACAGTCGGTATCCGCGAGTCCCAGAACTTTATGCTGAGGAACGTTATCTTGGACAACAGACGAAACTTCGGAGCGAAAAGCTCCATGATCGAAGACTTTGCAAAAAGAGAGAACGAATGGATTCAGCTCCACATCAATTGAAAAGAAGAAAAAGATGAGCGCAAGGAAAATCAACTGATGCCGATGTCGAACAGGGACAGAACTGTTGGACAGCTCTACGTGTTTCGAAGAGTTTCAAAGTAAGCGATTTTGCGAACATCCTGTTGTCAAGAGAAATGCATCTGCCGATTTTCGCAGGCGGGTTTCTCATGAGGAAGATCCGTTTCAATGGTGAACATCAGATTGGGTTGTGGTCTTGGACATCAAATGCTTGTTTGCAGACAAGTCTTCACACAAGCTGGATGAAAAGTGCATGTAACATCGCTGACGGAACCTGCAATCAAGTAAGAACTGGAAGCGCAGTTGAACATTCTCGCAAAGACTTAGTTACTAAGTTCAAAGCTTCGAAGGCTTGGAGTTCGGGTATTTTTCTAAATTTCCAAGATTCTCTCCGAAGAGTTCACATGACTGAAACGCGTGCAAGAACTGACGTGTCTGACATGACCTGCATGACATCAAGACTGTCCAAAACCTCTGGAGCAAGGCTATGAAGGAGCTTCGAAGCAGGGCTTTTAAAAAGGGCTTTGACAGGGGCTTCAAGGGGGTCAGCGATCTCGTGTGGCTTCTCATCGCGTTTTCTTGATAAATTTTCTCATTGTGTTTTGTTCGCAAAAACCTCCTACAAAGCGATCGTGTGTCTTCTTTTTTGTATTTGTGATTTTGTTCATTTCTTCTTCTTCTATCATTCTATTTTTTTCGCAAAAACCTAAAGCAATCTTATTGATCTCGTGTGACGTGTCCGCCGAACTGATGTTGTGTCCAAGTAAAACGACATCACCATGATCACGGAACGAAAATGGCACACATATCGCAGTGTTTATTGGAAAGTGAGACCGAATCCCACAACTGCAACGAGCTAGGACCATTCTGAGCCACTTCAACTCCATTCCTCCGCTTTCCACCGTGCTTATTTTGCGAGTCACACTTCCGGCTTGGATGTGATTGACCCAGTTCCCAATTTACAATTGTTGACGCTGAGATCAATTCTGGCAGCCAGAGAGTGATTTGTCGTGGAACAATCAAAAGAGCGGATTTGAGTCGGAAGAGGTCCAGAATTAATAGGTGGGCATAGAGAAACACAACGCAGCGATATCCAGTTGACACTTTCACAGCGCGCGAGCTCTGCCCTTCAGTGCCAAATCGGAGATCTGACTCTCGGCAATCTGTCGATCACCGAATAGACCTCCACGAACGGGACTTCGTCCAGATTCACTCATTGCGAGACGTTCTTGTTGCCCCCAGCCGCCGCCCTCCTGCACCTTGCCTGTCAGGTCCTTCTTTTAAAGTTTGAATCGCCCGGTCCGCGCCCCCCGGCAGTGCCGCCTCGAGGCCCCGAAACTCGTTTCCCAGACCGTGGTGATGGCACAATTCGATCCGTCCTCCACCAGCTCGGGTCTCCGCTGCTGAGGATGGGCCCCACCTTGGCTTAAGCCCCCCTTGAAGCCCCCCTTTAAGCCCCCTTTAAAGGGGTCTCCCCTAAGGGGGGGGGTGAGCCGATACACCCACAAGGAAATGCTCCTTGTTAGGAGGTGTATGACCAGTTTATTCCCTAAGGATCAAAGGGCAGCGCCCTGCACACGGACAGTAGTTGTTTTGTCTTGCTACGCAAGGAGAGCTTGTCTTGTCTCAATATGGTAAAACCACTGTGAGCCAATGGGCAGCGGAATGTATATGTATGAGCATGCAGCCATTGCTGTAGGTACCTGTTAGAGCTACCCCTTTAGAGGTTTATGGTTTCAAACAGACACTAATTTTCTTTTACCGGAAGCATGGCCGCACATTCACACATATACTATTATGCCCACTGTCACAGTTGCGGAGTTTGGACTCATGATAAAAACAGCATATTGTTTATGCTAGGTATAGCACTGAAGTACACTGTTGAAGTCACTCTTGAAATCACTCCTTTTGAACTCTTTCATGCACATTGGTCAGAGAGATCGTCTGTACAGGATCAGGTCTGGTAATGTTCTTCTATCGAATTATGCAGCCCTTCACTGTGCTCTTGTTAGAGCCTTGTGAGTCACTGTTGTGAAACTCTGAGATTTTCCTTATCTCAGATTTGGATCCAGGTTTGGATCATAGGCTCGAGCATAGACGTTCGGATGTGGTTCATCCGGGTCTGAGTGATCTTCTTCGGAACTTGAAAAGATTCCGAGTAATCTGTTCTCAGCCCTGGTGAAGGCGGCGTCTGCAGTGTCATATCCATGGTTGGATGTAGTCGCCTTTGGCTCGGCCTTTGGTGCAGCTTGTGAGCTGATTGGAGTTGCCTCGGCTTTAGCCGGTTGTGGCTGCTTAGCCTTTGCCCGTTCGGCCCTTCTTCTTTCAAGCTGTCCGTCTGAGGACGCCCATGATCTTTCACTTTCATCTCCTGAGGGAGATAAGGCGTGGGCATGAAGGCTGTTCCAGTACTGTGCTGCAGAAGGAGTTAGGACTTCTTCATGGTCAGATTCTGACTGGTCTTCCTCAGAGCTTTGGTCGTCAAAAAGTGTCTCAAGGACATTTTTGAGGTTTTTATGTCTTCGCTCTATCTCTAGTGAGGAATGGACCAATTGATTGAAGACTGTTTTTGAGTCCTTCAGTGCTGTTAGAAGGATTTCCACTCTGGATAGAGTATCTTGGATGGTGTCAAGATGATCCTTTCTTTCCTCCTTGTCTCTCTGGATAGAGTTTCGCAATGATTGTGCGATTCTGAGGAGGTCGAGATATTTCTCAATAGGCATAGTTACCGTATGATTGTCATGTATGACAGTTGTTTCGTCGCTGCTCAAGTTCCTGAATAGGACTTCCACGACTGGTAGAAACTCCGTGCTCCACGGTTCCTCTTCATCATATGTTTCTACGTGCTGTTGCACGCGTTGTGTAAACTGCTCGGCTGCTTCTACCGTTGCATCGATAGAGCTGACGTGTCTTACTGCCATGTTTCGGCACATAGTGTTAATGGCCTGGCCTTGATTGGCTTCGCCAAGTGCAGCGTCTGCATGGTTGCAGAGTCCACTGTTATGGGCTTCTCTAGCTGCTTTTCGTTGAATGCGCCGATTTTGACCTCCTCTTCTGGTAGGACCTTTTGGTCTCGGAGGATCTGAAGGTACTGTTCCTTTCGCCTTTGGCGGAGGAGTCTTAGGTGGAGGTGACATGTTTGCCTTGTTAGGCACTGGTGGCATTGCCTTGGGCACTGACGACGATGAGGCACTTGCGAGTGCAGATGTACCTCTGGCTCTTGCCGAGGATCCCTTAGGGATTGATGTATAGGTAATCTGCATGGCTTCTTCGGCCATTTGTGAATGCAATGCATCACTGAATAATTGCCTCATATGAGGAGTAGTACTTGCATCGTCATAGGTTTGAAACCGTTCAATGTCCCTTTCGGTGCCACGTGATCGTGTATCACCTCTTTGAAAAGGATCGTTCCTGCGAATCTCCGCAACTTGTACTGCCTGGAGGCAGGTTTTACACAGCACCTTCCTTGAAACATCTTTTGCTTGCTTGAGCTGGTAACAGCTGTCTGAAAGATGGTAGACTTCG